CACACACACACACACACACAGACACACACACAGACAGACAGACACACAGACAGACAGACAGACACACACAGACCAACACCAGTCAGGCACACACAGACCAACACCAGTCAGGCAGCTCATGTATGCAACATCAATGTGACACCGAGTTTACACTAAAACACTGGAAAATAATCTTGAGGTTTGGTCTTGTAAAGGGGAAACAATGCAGCAATTGCTTCTTATTCTCTAAATGTGATGGCAAGTTAAAAGCATTTCATTTTGACCTACGTTTTAAATCGAAGAGAGAAGAGAGTAGAAGTTTTAAGTAGAAGAGAGTTTTTCAGCAGAACTCTTGCATTTAAATTATTTTCACTGAATGTAGGCAAATTAATATATAACTTTTATAACTGAGGTGAAGGTATTGGAGGTGAAGTTATTTCATTCATATGAAGTGTTTTTTTATAACAGCCATGATTTATTTGAAAAAGTCAGGTCTAGAATCAGGAGTTATTTTTGAACTAGATATTTCTACGGGGTTTGGAAAAGTATGGAATTTGATTTAAGTAATTTCCAGGTCTGGAAAAGTATGGAAAAAAGAAAGCAGAGTATGGAAAAATATTTGCATTTCCAGACTTTTGCCCCCATTTCGTTTTTTTTAATAATAGAAATTTAAGAATTTAATGAAAATAAGTTTATCATACAAGAAGTGGCAGCTGTTTAGTGATTCTTTAGTGATTGTCAAACACAACTGGTGCACTTTTTCATTTAGCTTTTTGGGTTTCTTCTCACGATATTCTTAGCACTACGGATGCACCGTATGGGGCCCGATACTGAGCTCCTGTACTCGTACTCGTTAAAATGCCCCGATACCAAACGCCGATACCACACAGCATGTGATAAGCGCCATATTCAAACAAAGGAACACCAACAACAGACAGCAGAATGGAGTTAAGGATGTCTACTACGAAGTATATGTATGCAATGAATATAATGTTAAACAATCAGTATTAATTATACATACCCTTTTGGTTTCTGTACCCAATATTTAAAAACTGTACAAATGCAATAAAAATATCGGTATTGATACTCGGTATCGGCAAGTACCAAAAATAAAAGTATCGGTATCCGAGAAACCATTACACTTAGCATATAGGACAATACATACTGAGCCACCTGTTGTTCCATCAGCCCATTTCGCGGTGTGGTTTTTTGGCCGCCACAGAATATGCGTTAAAGAGACCTAAGGCCTTGAAATATGACATACTGTCCTAAGCCACATTTTGAACTTTTTTTTTTTTTTTTTTTACAAAACCAGTCTTTTTTTTATGGACCCTTGAACTTTATAAATAGGAAAATGCACATAGCCATATTATGCCATCAGCCCATTTCGTGTCATGGTTTTTCCGCCACCGCAGAGGCTAAATTGGACATTAGGCCTTGATATTAGAGGTACTACGATAAGGAAAGCCGAATTTTGATGTGCATCCATGCTCTTGCTTTATTTATAGCAAGATGGCAGTGATGCTCAAAGGAAATGGGTTATATATAACTAGAAATTGTGTAAGCGTCCAAAATTTCCCATGCACATGTGAATAGTTTCTCGAGGGCACAAAAAAGTTTCTTGTGTGCATGCATGTTTTTTTTATTTTTTTTTATTTAATTTTAAGGTCTCTGTATGTATGTTCACTTGTATGTTTCTATCACTTCAAGAATATCAATGAAAAAAAACCCCTGAAAAAATAAAAATATTTATAGGTGACTGTAATATATTCCAAATATAAAACTGATAATAGTTCTGTATGAACCATTCATCCAATCCAACAGGGGCAGGTTTATGCAGGAAGCACAGCTTTTCCAAATGTAAACATTTAAAATGAATAAATAATAATAATGAATAATATTTTTTTACAAATTCTGTGTTGTGTATTTTCTGGCAATCAAATGAACATGCAGAACATGAGGATTCGTATTTAAAATAGTTTTTTTGCAGGTTAATATTTACAGACACTAGTCTATATCATGATTTGATTTAAGTGTACTGACGTGTTTTTTATTTATTCATCAAAAATAAGACCAATTCCATGAAATTCCGTGTTATACAGTAAATTCCGTTTTTATGAATGGATTCCGCTACTTCGTCTGCGTTTTCCATATCGCTAATGTAGCAAACATGTATGATAAGCTCATTGTGAGAGTAAAAGACGGGGAAATTGTTTATTTACTTTATAGCATGAGTCTCTCCAACTGGGTGACAACGTAGCGTTAAATCACCATTCAACAGACTCAAGCCACCACCGCACTGCCGTCTATTGGATTGCAGAAAGATACTAACTTTTCAATCTTCTACGTTACTGACTGTACTGACAAACTATGCTGGCACCGTGTCTGCGCCGCAACAGGACGCGACAAAGCGACCGTTGAAAATCATTTGAACTTTGTGTCAGCACGTCATAAATAGAACGAGGCATCAGTTTACTGCATACAGTGTAGACAGCATCACTGATTATAATGGGTTCTATTGTATTTTGTTGCGCCGCTCACATCTGGTGTAGACACCCAGTTAGGAAATGTGATGTGACCGATGTGATAAGCATGAGTTCTGGGCTGCGGCGTGGCCGGTATAAACACAAGCATTGACTGAGTGGCCGCGACCAGCTTCGGTGGCCGTGGAGCCGTAATGTGCTGCAGATGCGTGCCGTAATGCGCAGATCAGCTCTAGTCTCTAACGCCACTGAATCTGCTGTTAAAAATGAACCATCCATTCATCATATCATCATGCAAAAC